GTGCCTCTATAAATAAATCATTGATGGTCAAGGTCAATCAGCCTCTCTTGGCTAAAACAGCACCAAGACATGGATGGCTGGTGCCTCTATAAATAGATTATTGATGATCAGGCGCTCGAGTGCATAAAAGTAGAACCAAATTAGACAAAAATGATAATAATAGATTCACAGACAGGAGAAAGAGGCTAAAACAGGACCTAGACATGGCTGACTGGTGCTTCTATAGATAAATTATATGATGGATTATATTGATGGTCAGGCACTAATGATGAGGATGATGATGATGATGATGATGATGATGATGATGATGATGATGATGATGATGATGATGATGATGCGTCCACACATATACACATACATATTACACACATATACTCATATATATTATACACATACACATATACATATACTGATACATATACATCTACTTAATATGCACGTACACATTCACACACACATTCACATATACGTAAGTATACATACACACATATTATATACTTACACATTATACACATACATATCACTTACAAATAAGCGCCTGAACTTAATATTATCCACTCTATTCTTTACCCCTCAGATAAACTTTCTGCACTTCGCTATCATCTTGTCCGGCGTCTCCATCGCTTCTACCATCATCATTTCTCTTATGACGAAGCCACGGCCTCCACAGAAGGTACGTTTTTTGTTGCTGTTTTGTTTTTGGTTGTTTTTGGGTTTTTTTTAGTTTTGGTAAGAGTTTAAGTCTCATTCATAGCTAAATTGTCTGCAGTCGGCTTGCAGGGACAGTGACTGTTTTCTATTTTAAACTGCACACCCCTTCCACCACCCCCACCTCCTTCCCAGACGCTGAACAGCAACGGAGGTTGAAAAAGTGAAAGTAAAATAAATAGGCAGGCAAGAGCTTAACGGTACTTTAGGTCATACAAGTGCTGAAGTATAGAGTAGATACTAGAGAGTAACATACATAGACAAGAAGGAAAAACGAGAAGGACGATAGGTGTTTCATGGGATTGAAGGAGCAAGGAGAGGCTGAGGGATGTATTTTGAATTTTTA